CCTCTTGTAAGACCACCAAAGGAGTGGACCAGTGAAGCTGCGGAGGATCTTCAGATGTGTTTGGACTCTACTGACTGGGATGTTTTCAGGACTGCTACCAACAGTCTGGACGAGTACACAGAAGCTGTGACATCATACGTCAGCTGCCGGGAGGACTGCTGTATACCATCATGCACCATGGTGAGTTATAACAGAGACAGACCCTGGTTGCAGAAGGAACAAGCGTTCAGGAGTGGGGACAGGGACAGGTTTAAGGAGTCAAAGTACAGGTTTAGCAAGGCGGTACTAAGTACTCTGAGAAACTTCAACACCACTTCTCCACCAATGAATCTGTCTGGAAGGGGCTCAGACAGATAACCAACTACAAACCTAAAACCCCCACTCTATCAACGACTAGCGCCTGGCAAACGAACTGAATAAGCTCTACTGTTGCTTTGAAAGACAAAGGGACAGTCCTGATACCATCCCCCATGACACCCCTCCACTAGCTCCATCTCATCACCAACCAACTCCACACCTCTGTGACCCTTCCCTCCTATACCACAGAGACGACTCTCTGCCTCCAGGTGAGGTCAGGTGACGTCAACAGGTTCTTTATGAGGCAGAATCCCCACAAAGCAGCTGGACCAGACTCTGTCTCTCCATCCACCATGAAGCACTGTGCTGATCAGCTGCCAGTGTTCACTGACATTTTGAACACCTCACTGGAGAAATGTCAAGCCTGCTTTAAGTCTCCATCATCGTCTCTGTCCCCAAAAAACCAAGGGCCACAGCACTCAATGACTACAGACCTGTCGCCCTGACCTCTGTGGTCATGAAGTCTTTTGACCGCCTTGTGCTGTCTCAACTCAAAGCCATAATGGACCCACTCCTGGACCCCCTGCAGTTCGCCTACAGAGCCAACATGTCTGTAGATGATTATTGCCAAGTAAGTTTTCACATACGAGGAACTTGCCATGGTACATTGGTGCATAAGAATAAAGAAGATAAAAAATAAAGTGCATCTCTTCCAGTGTTGCATCAATTGACACCAAATAAGATGGTCATACATACAGAATAAGTAGACCAGGTATTGTAGCCATGACGGGTCATACGGGGAGTGCATGTGATTGACTTCTTTTCAGGACAGCTGACAAGCAGGGTGACTGGAAATAAAACAGTGGTACACACTGCTAAGTTGACATGTGTCAAAAAAGATGTTTTACCTGCATCATTCGCTGCTGGTGTTTGTTTCCCTTGCAACCACAATGCTGAAGATTATTAAGATTTTTTCTGTTTAGGTTTTTGTTCATATCCTTTACCCATATCCCACATACGGATGTTTTGTTTACGAATACCTGTACCTATGCCCAAAAGGCACTTTTTGTGGGTTGTTTGCAACCTTGTGCAAGACTCTGTTCCATAAATAATAACTGTTCTAGGCCCTGGTGTTTTTGCTAGGCCACTAACAACTGATCTCTGGTACTCAAATGTGACAGCTGAGAATGTTATGGTTTGGGGTTTCAGGTGTTGTTTCCTGTTTTATTTTGAAATGCTCACCTCTCCTCTTGTGTCACCAGTTCAGATTTATACCATTGTATTTTGGCCCTGTTTACACAACATTTTTTGCAATTGTAAAGTTGTGTTGTGGTTCAACCTTTTCGTTCACACAACCCCATTTTGGGGCCCTGAAAACGCAAACTTTTGAAACCAAGTTCCAGAGTGCAATCTTTTGGAAACCAATTACCGTCACCCGGTAAAGTTTTTTCTTGGTTCGTCTTTGTATGTCCGTGTATGTGTGAGCTGCTTCTGCCAGCCCTATGTTTCCCTATACCCTTTCAACTGTATATTGTCCATGAAAAATCTAAAAGTTCAAATGATTTAATTTACAATGTAATATAGTTTAAACGTAAATGTGAAGAGTGGTAACCAGTGAGCAAAAGAGGGAGAGCGCAGTTGAAATAAATGGAAGTTTAAACTGTACTGAAATATGTGGATAATGACTGCCAACAGATCCTTTTGCTGGGAGACTTGCATGGCTTGCGGTAAAAATAGGCGAGACCTCAAACTCTTGAGGAGACACGGGCAGTGTGAACACTGAACAAGCTGTAAGCCTTACACTTTTGTTAACTCATGTACTACTAATTGTACTACAGCACAGCTCTGCCTTCTAGTCTGCATTTCAAATCCTCATGTTCCCTGTTATTCAGCTTGCACAACTGAAATGAGAATCCAAGCGGTCTTATTCCACTTTGATGTCACAGAGATTGGACTAATTTCTCTGGCTGGGAATCAATCCTGTGTTTCCCTCAAATGAAAGCAAGCTCCACTGAACTATGGGTGACGATAACGCTCTTCTTCGTCAACATGCCATTACCAAACACTCCATCCTTGTGCTTTCATAATGAGTTGTCATAGACGTCTGATAGAATGCAGGCTGATATAATTATAGTTGTTTTACTTATAAACAATTACGTATTATTAAGTGCTGCAAATCAATTAAATTCAATCCAAAAAATATCTTGTTGGCTCTTAATAAATGCAGTCGGAGGAGATGCCTATCGCTCAACCTCCTGAGAGTTGCATATTAACATGAACTTCCTCCTCAATGTCTGCAAGGTTAATTCTATAAGCAGGTTAAATGCTGAACCGCATTGACATAAGTCAAAAGCAGAAGAAGCCATTATTACATTGTATGTAAATGTATTTTAGTAAATTAAAAGACCCTTATGGTTCTATGGCACTGATTCTTAAACTATTCAATTCAATTCAATTCAATTTTATTTGTATAGCGGCAATTCAGAACAGAAGTTATCTCAGGACACTTTTCAAATAGAGCAGGTCTAGACCGAACTCTTTAAAACATTATTTACAGAGACCCAACAGTTCCACCATGAGCAAGACCTTGGCGACAAGGGCAAGGAAAAACTGCCTGTTAAAAGGCAGAAACCTAGGACAGACCTTTCGGCTCTAGGTGGGTGGTCGTCTGTCTCGACCAGTTGGGGTGAGAGAGAGAGAGAGACAGACAGACAGACAGACAGACAGACAGGTGCACAGCAACAACAGTATTGGCAATGGCAATCTAGCAGGACCATGGCAGGAGGCTCCACCAGGATCGACAAGAACCTGTGAGACGAGAAAGCACAAGAACTCCGGGGAAGAAGTGAAGTTAGTAACATGCATTAATGGGGCATGAATGAGTGCAGAAAGAGAGAGGAAGGGAGGAGCTCAGTGCACCATGGGAAATCCCCCGATAGTCTAGGCCTATAGCAGCATAACTAAGGGATGGTTCAGGACTCACCTGATCCAGCCCTAACTATAAGCTTTATCAAAGAGAAACTTCTTAAGGCTACTCTTGAATGTGGAGAGGGTGTCTGCCTCCCGAACCACAACTGGAAGCTGGTTCCACAGGAGAGGAGCTTGGTAACTGAAGGCTCTGGCTCCTGTTCTACTTTTAGAGACTATAGGAACCACAAGTAGCCCAGCATTCAGAGAACGTAGTGTTCTAGTGGGGTAATAGGGTACTATGAGCTCTTTAAGATATGAAGGGGCCTGACCATGAAGAGCTTTATAGGTGAGGAGGAGGATTTTAAATTCTATTCTACATTTTACAGGGAGCCAATGCAGAGAAGCTAGTACAGGAGAGATGTGATCTCTTTTTCTAGTTCCTGTCAGTACTCGTGCTGCAGCGTTCTGAATTAATTGGAGCGTCTTAATGGACTTATTGGGGCAACCTGATAATAAAGAGTTGCAGTAATCCAGCCTTGAAGTAACAAATGCATGGATTAGTTTTTCTGCATCTGTCTGTGATGGGATGTGTCTAATTTTTGTAATATTACGTAAATGATAGAAGGCAGTCCTAGAGGTCTGCTTTATGTGGGAGTTAAATGACAAATCCTGATCAAAGATAACTCCAAGATTCCTGACAGTGGTGCTAGAGGCCAAGTTAATGCCATCTAGAGTAACTATATCTTTAGACAGTGAGTCTCTAAGGTTTTTGGGGCCAAGTACAAGAATTTCGTTTTTTTCTGAGTTTAACATCAGAAAATTGCAGCTCATCCAGGATTTTATGTCCTGAAGACATGTTTGTAATTTACATAATTGATTAATTTCATCGGGCTTGATTGATAGATATAACTGCGTATCATCTGCATAACAGTGAAGGTTAATGGAGTGATTCCTAATAATGTTGCCTAAAGGGAGCATATATAAAGTAAATAGTATTGGTCCATGTACAGAACCTTGTGGAACTCCATGACTAACTGTAGTATTTATTGAAGATCGTTAACATGTACAAACTGCGAGCGATCTGATAAATATGACTTAAACCAGCTTAGTGCGGTTCCTTTAATGCCAATTTGATGCTCAAGTCTCTGTAAAAGAATATTATGGTCAATGGTGTCAAATGCAGCACTAAGATCTAATAATACAAGAACAGAGACAAGTCCATTGTCAGAAGCAATCAGAAGGTCATTATTAACTTTAACCAGAGCTGTCTCTGTGCTGTGATGAACTCTAAATCCTGACTGAAAATCCTCAAATAAACTGTTGTTATGCAAAAAGTCACACAACTCTTTGGCGACTACTTTCTCCAGAATCTTAAGAGAGGAAGGGGAGGTTAGAAATCGGTCTATAGTTGGCTAAAACCCCTGGGTCAAGAGTGGACTTTTTAAGAAGGGGTTTAATTACAGCTACTTTAAAGGACTGTGGTACATATCCTGATAATAAAGAAAGATTAATCATATCCAGTAAAGAAGTGCCAATTAAGGGAACAACTTCTTTAAGCAGCCTAGTTGGGATCGGGTCTAATAGACAGGTTGATGGCTTTGATGAAGAAATGATTGAAGTTAACTGATGAAGATCGATAGCAGAAAAACAGTCTAAATATATATCTAAGTTTACATTGGCAGAAGTCCCTGAACTTGGAGAGCCACTGATAACTGTTGATGGCAGTTGGTGATTAATTTTTTCTCTAATAGTAATAATTTTATTATAGAAGAAGCTCATGAAGTCATTGCTACTTAAGTTTATGGGGATATGTGGCTCGATAGAGCTGTGACTCTCTGTCAGCCTGGCTACAGTGCTGAAGAGGAACCTAGGGTTATTCTTATTTTCTTCTATTAGTGCTGAGTAATAGGCTCCTCTGGCATTACGGAGGGCCTTTCTATAAGTTTTAAGATTATCTTGCCAAATTGAGCGATATTCTGATAATTTGGAAGAGCGCCATTTCCTTTCAGATTTCCTAGCTATTTGTTTTAACTGGCGGGTTTGGTGGTTATACCACGGTGCTAGTCTCCTATGTTTTAATAATTTCCTTTTTATAGGAGCGATAGAGTCTAATGTTGATCGTAGTGAGCCTGCAGCACTATCGACAAGATTATCAATTTCAGAGGGACTAAAGTTGTTATAGGACTCTGTTAAATTTAGACATTGCATTGAATTAAACACTGAAGGAATCTCCTCCTTAAATTTAGCTACAGCACTGTCAGATAGACATCTGCTGTAGAAAGTTTTGCCTAATGGCTTGTAATCTAATAGTATGAATTCAAAAGTTATTAAATAATGGTCAGATAGGAAAGGATTATGTGGGAAGACTATTAAATGTTCAATATCAATGCCATATGATAGAACAAGGTCAAGAGTGTGATTAAAACAATGAGTTGGTTTATTTACACTCTGACAGAAGCCAATTGAGTCTATTAATGATATAAATGCATTACTAAGGCTGTCATTGTTAACATCCACATGAATATTAAAATCACCTACAATAATTACTTTATCTGATTTAAGGACTAAACTTGATAAAAACTCTGAGAATTCAGATATAAAATCAGAGTACGGTCCAGGAGCGCGGTACACTATAACAAATAGAACTGGCTGCAGTGTTTTCCAGTTTGGGTGAGAAAGACTAAGAACAAGACTTTCAAATGAATTATAATTTAGTTTAGGTTTAGGGTCCATTAAAACGCTCAAATCATATATGGCTGCTACTCCACCTCCTCGGCCTGTGCCTCGAGGAATGTGAGTATTAATATGACTGGGGGGTGGATTCATTTAGGCTAACATACTCCTCGTGGGACAACCAGGTCTCAGTAAGACAAAGTAAATCAATATCATAATCTGATATTAATTCATTCACTAAAACAGCTTTAGAGGACAGAGACCTGATATTTAACAGTCCACATTTCATTCTCTTATTTTGTGCTACTGAGGAGTTAGTTTTAATTTTTCTTAGATTTTTATGTTGAACTCCTCTTGTTTTTATTTCTTTAAAATAATTTAGGTGGTCGGGGGACAGACACAGTCTCTATGGGGTTTTGGGTGGGTGACTGTTCTAAAGAAAGCGCAGAGAAGTGTGCAAGACAGCAGCTCTGCTTCCTGGTCCTAACTCTGGACTGTCAGGTTTTAGAAATAAACTTCGTCATATTTCTAGATAAGAGAGCCGCTCCATCCAAAGTGGGATGGATGCCGTCTCTCCTAATCAGACCAGGTTTTCCCCAAAAAGGCTTCCAGTTATCAATGAAGCCTGCATCGTTTGCTGGACACCACCTCGACAGCCAGCGGTGGAATGACGACATGCGGCTATACATGTCATCACTGGTCACATTGGGGAGGGGTCCAGAGAAAACTACGGAGTCCGACATTGTCTTAGCATAGTTACACACCGACTCCACATTAATCTTAGTGACCTCCGATTGGCGTAATCGGGTGTCGTTACCGCCGACGTGGATAACAATCTTACTGTATTTACGTTTATCTTTAGCCAGCAGTTTTAAATTTGATTCAATGTCGCCCGCTCTGGCCCCAGGGATACATTTAACTTTGGCCACTGGCTTCGCTAACTTCACGTTTCTGACTATGGAGCTGCCAATAACCAGAGTTGGTTCCTCAGCGGGTGTATCGCTGAGTGGGGAAAATGTATTAGAAACGTGAAGCGGTTGGTGGTGACCTGTGGGCTTCGGCGTTTTAGTCTTCCTTCGCTCAGTCACACAGCCTCCCTGTCTTCCCGGCTGCTCGGGAACTACCGGGGGAACTACAGATCTAACAGAAGCTACCTTCGGTCGGACCGCACCGGCTACTGGGGGCTGGCTAACTATAGCGGCTAAAGACATCTCCGTGGTGCGGTGCCGTTCCTCTAACTCACTAAGCCTCGCCTCCAGCGCAGTAAATAAACTACACTTAATACAGGTACCATTATCTTTATAGGAGGCAGAGGAATAACTGAACATCTGACACACTGAGCAGGACAGAGCAGAGGGAGAGGGAGAAGCCATAGCTAACTGCTAATGCTAATGAAACTAGCGTGTATGAAAAACTTTGAAAATAGCGAAAAGTCACTAAAAGAAGGAGTAACTCCGAGTGTTTAGGTAGAACTAGTCTACGTTTAAATGCTAAGCGGGAAAATAACCGCTGTAACGAGTAAAACTAATTTAGATTTAGCGTTCACTGACAGAGCTACAGCACCAAACAGTGTACACAGAGCAGGAAGTAAACCGGAAATGAGTCTGTACGCTTACCGTAGCACGTCACGACAAGACAACTGGAAACTATGGTACCTGCACTGCCTCTAGTGGTACACAAAACTAAAATAGAATTGATGAAAAATTACATTAGTTAATTTTAAAACAATTAGAACTAGATTCAGATTCAGATTCATTCTTTATTGTCCTCAGTGGAAGAAATTTGTTTTCACAGTCTGTACAAAGAGCCCCTTCAGCATGAGTTCTACACACAAACTACACATAGTACACATACAGACAATATACACATATCTACACATATAACACAGGAGTGACATCGTTAACTTGTCTGTGAGTTTAAAGGAGACATATTATGCCCTTTTTCAGGTTCATAATTGTATTTTGTGGCTCTCCTACAATAGGTTTAGATGTTTTAATGTTCAAAAAACACATTATTTTACTCATACTGCCTACAGCTGAGCACCTCTTTTCAGCCTCTGTCTGAATCGCTAGGTTTTAGCGCCTGTCTCTTTAAGACCCCCCTCCCGAAAAGCCCAGTCTGCTCTGATTGGTCAGCATTATGACGCGGCTCATGCGGATGACGCGGCTCACGCGGATGACACTCCGGCCCCTCCCCTTCGTTGCCGGCAGGTAGCTCCCCTAACTGCTACTGAGATTAGCTTCATTTCTACCGTCAATATTAATTCAATAACTGCTTCTAAAGCAAAAACTTCACCAGCGGACATGTTAGAGCGGGAGTCTGACCTGAAATCACAGAGAAATGAACAACATCAACAATCAGTATTACAGCTTTCTGTGACGTTTTCCTCAGGTAAATACTGCTATATTAACTACATATACATACATATAACTAAAATATATATATATATATATTAACCTCTATCTATCACATAATGTTAGTGTTTATACCTTAACTATGAGAACCAACACTGTGTTTTATGCTTGTCTTTACAGGTACAGCAGTGAGCAGTGACCTACAGTCTACACAGCCCAGTGAAGTTAAACATATTATATATTACATAATATTAACAACATTAGTCAAGCAGTTGTTTCTAGTGAAGAAATACCCAGTAAATGTACCAAAGTAATCAGAGTAATAGTATGATGATTACTGTAACCTCCCATCTGTTATATTCTTTATACACATTAGTTTACTGAGACCATGGAAACAGAAACCTGCAATACTTTATCCTGTACAACATGTCAACATAACTGAAGGAATCACTCATCTAATAAAGTAACTTGTTCATGTGGTTTAAAAACTGCTAAGTAACCAACTGTTAACTGTACTGTATCCATATTTCATAGTCTGATATTTTAACTTAAAAGTATTATTACCAAAGTTAACCTTCAGATATGTGTAAAAGCTGCAATTATGTTTGAACCCCATTAAAAATACTGTATACTGAATATTCTATCATTTATATTATATACTGTATTATGATGTCATTTATCTTCCAATGTAATAAAGTTTGAATGTGAGACAGTAATGTATTGTGTTGCTTACAGTCATTAATACAGGTTTAAGTTCCACAATTTCATATTGATAGATGTAACACGAATCAGGTTTTCAACTCTTGTACATCCAGGAAATCTTCATAAAACCTCTGAAATAACATGTTATTTATATAAAACCACACTTATTACTGAATTTAAAAATGACCAAAACTCTTCTTAAAAATAAAACTTTATTAATGTTTCATTCGTATTCCAGTTACACATAAATATGAATTGTGTGTATGCTAGTAACAAAGCTATAACTTCAATGTAAACTGTGCAGATCATGTCCTCCATCAAGGTTTATGGTTTCTAGTATACTGAAGTGTGAGCTGGTAACGGTGCTCTGCAGTCAGTGTTCATCTTCATCAGTCTTCCTTTGGATACCCAGACTGTCCTGATGCTGCAGCTGTCTCTGTCCTCTGATGGGTCCAGGAACACCTGAGCTTCATCAGGTCACCTGTAAAACATGGAGGATTCAGTGTTACTTGTAAAGCAGCATATAATATACAGTATAATATAATATACAGTATAATATAACATACAGTATAATATAACATACAGTATAATATAATATACAGTATAATATAATACAGTATAATATAATATACAGTATAATATAATACAGTATAATATAATATACAGTATAATATAATATACAGTATAATATAATATACAGTATAATATAATACAGTGTAATATAATACAGTATAATATAATATACAGTATAATATAATATACAGTATAATATAATACAGTACAACAGCTCATTGTGGCTCACAAGTAGTCCTAAGTTATAAAATAAAATAATAAGCAGTGTCTCTGGTGGTTCCTGGTTGCAGCTAACTGTAGTGATGTGTTGTTGAAACAGTCTGAGGTTACCAACACAATGTCTATCTAATGGCAGCAGATACACACACAGGACATTTACTGACTGTAACTGATGTTGGAACAAGTTCCCGGTGCAATAACAGACATTTAGCAGTGAGCCTCAGTGTTTATAATACAACAGGAGATTATATGAGTATAGGTAATTACACTGGACCTGCACTTATATCGTCAGTAATAGCAGTACTTCAGTAACGCTAAATAAATGGATCAGAAAACTTTTATTAGTCGGTTTGATTCCACAAAACAACCTAGTGAGCAACCCCAGCTGCTGGGTGCTCTGTGATTCTCTGTATAAACTTATAATAAACTTTGTGTGAATCTCTATAACAATATCAGCAGGGGAGAATATGGAGACATCTGCACCAGCTGGTTAATACATTAACTTCACCTTTAAGTTTCATGTTCATCTTGCACACATTTAACAAACATTTAACAAACATTTAACAAACATTTAACTAACAATAAACGTTAGCATCACTGAGGCTCCTGTAGCTAACAGCGGTTAGCATGTGCTAGCAGTACACGAACAATGAAAAACAGCATCAATTGTTAAAAATCCTTCCAGTGACTTCCTCTGCCGTCTCTCCACAGACAGTTGGTACAATCCCTCTTTCAGGAACAGTCTTTCAGTCAGTCCAGTGTTGTACTGACCGAGGTTGTGAAAACAGTCCGACACAAAGTGGTTCAGACACACATTCCGGTTTTTGTGACTCTAGCCGGACATTGCCGTAAAACATAATTTACATACATTTACATACATTTACATATGTAAATTAGTGTTGGGCTGTGCAGCCAATGACTGAACAGTTTGTCTGTTGAGGCCTTTGCCCAGACATTAGGCTGCAGACTGCAGGCTGGACTTGCTTGTTCTCCACTAGCTTGCCTTTTATAGTAACAATGGCGGAGCTCCGATAGTCAACAGGAAGTAAAGAGAGGTGGGTGGCAACAGGGAGAGCATGTGACGTCACAAACTACACACTTCTGAACCTGCGTGATTTCTCTCCTATATTCTGACTGAGGCAGCCCACAAAAACATGACTGAGTCATTTTTTTCCACTTGCCTGCTGATAGGCCCTCCAGAGTCCCAAATGTACATAATCAAATGATTCAAAAGTTGGTTTTGCATAATATGTCCCCTTTAACGCTCTTATAGCACAGGGTACAACACTTTTTCCAAAGCGTGCC